CACCCCGGTCCCGCCGAACACGCGGGCGCATTCTCCCCGCCCCCGCCCGGACTGAAGGGGCGCCCGTGTTTTTGCACACCCCGGGGAAAGTCCCCGGGTCACGCGGCTGTGTGTGGGGAGCCCGTGACGCTCAGGCTCGTCCCCACGCTTCCGCCCAGAGTCACGACAGGGGACTTGTGGCGGCGGTACTCAGCGCGCGGGCCGACCCCCGCCCGGCCACTCCGGCGGGCTGGCGCGCACGTACGCACGCACGCACGCACGCACACCAGCTCCGGCGCCGCGGGTTCTTCGGCTACCAGGCGCACGGTCACGTGGTTCCACCGCACGGCGGCTGGCGCGGGAAGCCGCGCGAGAGCGGGCCCCGGGGTGCGTGAACGGCGCCTTTGCGTGCTGTGCGCCGCGCGGGAGCCCGCCCCTCCCGCACGGAGGAGCCGGCCCGCCGCCGCGGCGGAGTCTGGGTAAGCGTCCCGGCCCAGCCCCTGTGGGCTGCTCCGGGCTCAGTCCCTCCCGCCGCGAACCACCCGGGGCGGCGGCTGCTGCACGGGTCGCGGGGGCCGATGCAAGTAGCCGGGGTGAAGGGCGTTTCTGGTCCGTTTGAGATGTCAGGCTGGGCGCAGGAGGAAAATGGCAACCGCGGCAGAGCTCGGGGCGCAATGGATTCCCTGACCTACCTTCGCTGCGGGCCGCCGGGGCCTGACGCTGGCGGGGATGGCGCGCGGGGCCTTCGCAGAGGCATGGAGTCCTGTTGGCTGCGGGGCCTGCTGCCACCCCGCACGGGCGAGGCCCGAGGCTGCTTCCCCTGGGCGCCCGGGCCTGCGCGGATTTGCTGGCTGGGCTACGGGGACGGAGCGACCACTACCCTTCCTTCCCCTCCAGTGTGTGAGCTCCCAGATTCTAGGGGAGGAGGCCCGCCTACTCCGACTATTCTCTTCTTTCTTTCTTTTTTAAATGTTTAGCTCCCATGCAAACCCAGTGTTTCGTTTTGAAGCCTGAACCATCTTATCATCGCCGTCATTATTTGAAGAAATCAAGCTGTTATCAGTTGCTTGGGCAACGCCTAGCAAAGTATCTGGGAACTGACCGCAGCTAACAAACGTGTTTTATAAATTAACACCGGTGTTCTTCCTCCATTGCAAAGGGATCCAACTTGGCATTCTTTCCTTTGAAACTCAAGTGCTTTTGAAGGGGCTGTTGATTCTCTCATATATTCTGTCAACTTTAGAATCTCGCCAAGCTTTAGACCTCATATAAAATCCAGTTCATCCTTTTCCTTTTCAGACCTGATGAGCACTTCGTTGCTTAGTCTGGGTCTTACCTCTCAATAGCTGAACGTGACATCTGCAGTCACTTTTGTCGTGTCATTCCCTCTGTACCAAGAATGAAACTGCCAGTTTAACCTGCTCTGGGCAGTGTATTCACCAGCGGTGATTACAGTTGCCTTGAAAATTTCTCAAGTTCATTGAGAAATCGGGCTCGGCCAGGTGAAGTAGCTCAGTGTCTAGGAGAGACTGTAATGATTTTGGAGCCCATACCACACATCTCTTCATTTCTGGTGTCTGCGAGAATCATAGACAGTTGTCACAGACAGTTGGTTGTTCCTTTAGGTTAAGGCATCACATTCTCTTAGCAGTCTGGATGTGTTTGACTTAAGGGTAAAGGAAGACTCCTTTACCCATTATGGAGTGCTGCTGGTGTGCTAGACATAAATTCAGTTTGATGGCTAGAGATGCCATTAGGAAATCATAATACATAAGGGGATAGCAAGAAAACAGGAAGGGAGTCCACAAGACCCACCCTACCCTTTTTGCCCAGACCCACCCTAGATGTCGTTTTGGATATAGTAAAAATGATTTCTCAAGTTTGGTTCATATTTTTTAAGTACCATCAGTGGGACAACTTCCATTCCCACTGCTTTCATGGGTGAATTTTGAAGCCTTACTAAAAAGAGAAGGTCTTGTTGTCTCTGTGTTACAAATAATGTTAGGAGCCTGAGGAAATGAGGTCAGAGAGATTTACCTGACTGTGCTGATGTAATCATTTGCAGAGGAATTTAAGCCTAGATCACTTATCTTTCAAGTCTAGTCAGTGCCCTTATGCATTATATCGAGCTCCCACTTCAAACCAGGAAGGGAGTGAGAGAATCGCCTGTGGCTGATTTATTGGCGCCTGTGGTTGCCCAGAGAGGCCAACTAGGACTTTCAGCTGCCCTCTACGTTTAGAAAGTGGAGCTATGTGCTTCCACCCTATCTCCTGAGGGGAATGCTAAGGAGCCAGGCTGTCTAGCTGGGGAGGAGGGGCCCAAGGGCCTTGGCCATAAAATATCCTAGCCAGGGCAGTGCTGGGAAGTATTGCATAATGCCCTCCTACTACTGAACCAAAGTGATTTATTCGCTATAATCTGTAGGTAGTGTTTCACCAACTTGTCCATTTCAGTAGTAATGGCCAGAAAAGAGTTGGAAATTTCATATTATAGATTCCCCCTCCCCCCCTTTTTTTAAAGTTAAAGTGCAAGCCTGGCCCTGGTGGCTCATGCCTGTAATCCTAGCTACTAAGGAGTCTGAGATCTGAAGATGGTGCTTCAAAGCCAGCCTGGGCAGGAAAGTCCATGAGACTCTTATCTCCAATTAACCTCCAGAAAACTGGAAGTGGCGCTGTAGCTCAAGTGGTAGAGCACTAGCCTTCAGCTGAAGAGCTCAGGGACAGTGCCCAGGCCCAGAGTTAAACCTTCATAACCAAACAAAAAACAATGCAGGTGCTCTTACCTTGAAAATGTAAAATACTTTTACACCACTCATTTCTGTTTATTTAATCCACAGAACTTGCAAACTCCAGCCCTTTGAGAGGAAAAGGTGTTCTTAATTTGCTAGTTACCAGCACAAGCAATGGAGTTAGATGGGGTTTTTTGATCTCTGCTTCATGGCATTTTTAGTTGTGTGTCCTAAATATAAATTTCGTCCTTATCTGCAAAATACAAATAGTGAAAATAATACATTAGTACCATGGGGGTTGAAAGAAATTGTATGGGCTGGGAATATGGCTCACTGGTAGAGTGCTTGCCTGGCATGCATGAAGCCATTGGTTCAATTCCTTAGTGCCACATAAAGAGAAAAGTCTGTAAGTGGTGCTGTGGATCAAGTGGTAGAGTATTATCCTTAAGCAAAAGAAGCTCAGGATCAGTGTCTAGACCCTGAGTTCAAGGCCTAGGACTGGCAAAAAAAAAGATTGTATGTAAGGCATTTAGCACAAGGCTTTGGATATAGTATTACTCTTCATAACAGTAGATATTGACAATAGTACTATATTCCCCTACCATAGGAAAGATACTGCTACTTGAACTTTTGAAAAAGAGTGGAAGAAGTAAAGCAATCATAAATCTGAGGATTATTACTTGGTTTTATTTATACTTGTTTCTCCCATATACACTGCCCTCTGGTCTTGGGGCTTGAACTCAAGGCCTGGACCCTGTCCCTGAGCTTTTTTGCTCAAGGTTAGTGCTCTATAACTTTGAGCCATAGTGCTACTTCTGGTTTTCTGGTGGTTAATTGGAGATAAGAGTCTCACAGAAGCTGGGTGCTGGGTGGCTCACGCCTGTAATCCTAGCTACTCAGGAGGCTGAGATCTGAGGATCACAATTCAAAGCCAGCCTGGGTAGGAGAGTCTGTGAGACTCTTTATCTCCAATAAAAACCACTAGAAAACTGGAAGTGGCACTGTGGTTCAAGTGGTAGAGCACTCGCCTTGAGCTGAAGAGCACAGGGACAGCACCCAAGCTCAGAGTTCAAGCCCCACGACCGACCAAAAAAAAAGGGGGGGGGGTCTCACAGACCTTCCTGCCCAGGCTGGTTTTGAACTATGATTCTCAAATCTGAGTAGCCTCCTGAGTAGCTAGGATTATAGGTGTGAGCCACTGGCTCCTAGCTCTCCCCACCCCCCATTTTGAAAAATATTTTTTTCCAATTTGGAGGAAAAGTATTCATAGTGTTAAGTTTTTAAAATTTTTCTAATTCATTTCTTCCCTGTTTATAAATAAGTTATACACAGATGTTTCATTTCTTCTGAAAAAGGTAGGCCCTTTAAGCAAAGGGTTTCATTAGTCCAGGTGGGTAATACGTTCATGGAACTCTGTAATATGTTCATGTTCTCTGCCAAAAGAAGTGTTGGTTGACTTACCCCATAAATAATCATTGCTCTTGCTCACTGTGTTCTCCAGGTCTACTAGCGTGAGTACCTGATTTTTTTTTTCTGTCAGAAATACCTACATCCATCTATCTGTCTGTCTGACTGTCTATCTATCTATCTATCTGTCTACGGGCTAAGAAGAATCTTCCTCACGGGGTTCTGTATTTTTTGTTTTGTTTTGCTTTAAGTTCTTGCAGTTTATACTCTGTGTTACCTTTTGTTGACCTGGTGCTATGGCTTTATCAGGCTTTCCACAGCAGGGTTGGAGACAGAGAAGGCTGTTGGTGTCAACAGACAGGAGGCCCATACTAACATTTCCTTATTCAGTTAAAAGTTGCTAGAGCGTAACTGCTCTTCCTGTATCATCTACAGCTACTTCTCTAACATCTGTACATTTTCATAAATATATGTCTAGAATATAGGACCAATTCTACCTCAGGTCCTAGTTTCAGATATGGGGTTGCTATATCATTTTTAGATATTATGAAAGTAAGTATAAAGGAATATGGGCATAATTCTTTTTCTTAATTTTTTTCAGCCAGATGCCAGTTGCTCATGCCTATAATTTTTACTATGTAGGCGGCTGAGATATAAGGATTAAGGTTCAAAGCCAGCCCAGGCAGGAAAATCCATGAGACTCTTACTTCCAGTGAACTTCAAAAGAGTTGGAAGTGGAGCTGTGGCTCAAGTGGTAGAGTGCTAGCCTTGAAAAAAAAAGAAAAAAAGTTCAAAGACAACACTTAGGCCCTGAGTTCAAGCCCTAAAACCAGCACTCACAAAAAATATGTGTGTGTGTGTGTGTGTGTGTGTGTGTGTGTGAGTGTGTGTGTGTGTGTGTGTGTGTGTGTGTGTGTGTGTGTGTGTAGCTGGGTGTGGGTGGCTCACGCCTGTAATCCTAGCTAGTCAGGAGACTGAGATCTGAGGATCATGGTTCAAAGCCAGCCAAAGTAGAAAAGTCTGTGATACTCTTATCTGCAATTACCCACCAGAAAACCAGAAGCGGTGCTGTGGCTCAAAGTGGTAGAGCACTAACACTGAGCAAAAAAAGCTCAAGGGGGGAGGCTGGGAAGGGATGTGAAGGTAAACAAAAGGAGGAGGCTGCAATGCTTGGTAAGAAATGTACGCATTATCCTGCCCATGTAATTGTAACCCCTCTGTACAGTATCTTCACAAATAAAAAAAAAAAAAAAAAGCTCAGAGGCAGTGGCAAGGCCCCCAGTTCAAGCACCAGGACTGACTGGTCTTGGGCCTTTGAACTCTGGGCTTGGGTTCTGTCCCTG